TTTATATACTTTTATGCTATTTGACTCTGTATTTATTCAATTAGAACTTTGTTTAATAAAGACTTATTTGCTTTCAATATTTACTTGTTGTATTGTAAGTTATTAATACTGAAATTACCTTTGAATTGCATAGAAATTTTTACAAATAGTAAAAACTTATTAAAGTTTGCTGGAAACTGCATACACCACCACCAACAACAACAAAATGCTTTGAATTGAGTTGAAAATTTAAAAAATGTGAACTTAGATCAAACTTCAAAAGGTAATTTTTGTTTTTTTAAATAATACAAAATATTATTGTAAATTTTTATAATATGTTTTAAGATTTTAAAATGCAAAGATGGTCAATAATTCAATCACTCAATTTGATTCTTATTTTAGTAATGAAAAGTTCCGCTACCGAGAATGCCCTTTCAGATTCAGTTAGATTCCCAATCTCCCTTCTTATAGAGCAGATCCTGTATCAAGTCCTACGAAAGATATGCATATAGTTTAAATTATAAAATTGTAGTGTCTCCAGATCTGTTCAAAAGTATTCAATGGAGAAATGATTGGCCACCGTCAGAAAAACGAGCTGGGTAATTGTGTGGAGTTTCCTTACAAGAAAATACAATAAAGATGTTGTAATTGGAAAAAATTGACAGCGGGATGACTAAGTGGCTAAGGTGGCAGCCTACAGCACTGGGGGACGTGAGATTGAATCTAGAAAGCCAAGAGAAACTTCAGGAATTTTTCAAGGGGTACTCTATGATATTGCAGGATTTGTCCCATTGTTTGCTTTGCTTAACCCATAATGGGCTTGATAGAAAGGCCCTCTGCTTCAATTTTTTTCAACACAAAGTGTTGAAAAAAATTGGAAAAGTATTGCTATTGCCAGATAATGGTATTATATACAGTGAAATCTGCTGACTTAAAAAAACCAAATATCTTGAGGTAACAAAGTATAACATCAAAATCATCCCTTATGTTATCATTTGACGTTTGAATGTATATGATTAAAATGTTTCAGATGTAAATGTTTCAATACCTATTCAAAGCTAAATAATTTTAAAATTTAACCTTCAACCTATTCTAAATGTCTGAGATGATGATTCAGGTTGGAGCTATGTATGAAGCGTGCACGGTTGAAATGCACGTCTGTGTCGAGATAGGAGGCAAAACGCAGTGTTGGCCAACCCTTTCAGGATGGAATTCCGACGAGGCGGATTTTTCAAGGGCACGTTGTAACAACTGCCTATTCCAAGTTGCGGTTGGTTCTTTGATCAGTAACGGGTTTATCGTTTTTACTTTAAAAACCGGAAACGAGATTTTCCGGTTTACTAAAGTCATGGATAAACTTTTTGAAGACCTGTTTGCACTTACTATAATAGTATTAATGCCGTTAGCGGGAGTAATACTGCTGTATGTCTTAATCACTCGCGCATTTACCTTTGAAATACTTTTAATTTCTATTGTAGTGTTGTTTGTTTATCTTGCCGTCTTAATATACTTTTCGTATATTGCGAAAATTCTTTTAAACGTAAGTTTTCTCTAATTATAAGCTTCTTTCCTTCGATGAATACTTAATTATATCAAACTAATTGGTGAAGATATAAGAGAGTTAAATAGTTTATAAAATAGTTTATATTTTAGGTCTGTGCTCTGCGGAGACAAGTGATCTTTCAATTATACTTATCGTGTGTTAGGTCACTGGTTTTACTTTCCCGGCTGTTGTGTATATGTAACAAGGGAAAAGTATTGGAATCGTATCAAATTTGACCCTTCGAGCTTTTGCAAATCTCTACGTTTAGAGACCTGATGGATTCAAGATGGATCCAAAAAGTCAGAAAATCCAATTACGTAACACTTCCGACTGGTATGAGTTTTTATTACAAAACTTTTATCTTATTAAGCGAAATAAAAATTGTGTGGGCCATCATCTGTTATGCGTTTGGCCTACCAGTGGCCAAGCCGTCTTCGTACCCTGAACACAGAGAGTTCGGTCGTATGTTCGGACGGGCTGGCCACGTGACGTTTTCCGGGTCTTTTCCACGTCTGTAACGCCTAAATAGGGACCAGTTTTCTTTAACAAGACCTCCCTAGGCAGATCGTTCAAGTGTTGCATTGCCATAACATAACAAATAAACATCTGTTATACGATATTGTTATAAAAAAACTATTTATATTTTTCAATTACTATACGCTGGTAAAAAGCTTAATTTTGAGGCTAGGGACGAGTTTTATTTTTTAAAAAAAAGGTATAAATGTTAATAACGAATAACACCTTTATTAAGTCTTACCCCTTTGGAGATATGACACATGACACCCCTTTATCTCTTCATCCTTTTGACCTTTAATCACTAATTTTTTTTTTACTTTTTTTGTATTTTAGTAGTCTTTTTTTTCCTTCTTTATTTATCATTAAGGTACGAATGCGTACAGGCCTGATGCCGCGTAGCATAACCAGATTGAGAAAACAAAGGGAAGTTTATTTATTACAGCATGATTAATAATATAAAAATTATGTTTAAACAAAATCTTAACAGCCGGAAAAGTTACGCAACTCGTTCGATTTTTTAAAATTGAAAATTCAATTCGAAAGTTTTAGGCAAACATAAAGAAACTTTCTATTTATGTGTGTTTATTTTTATTTTTAATATATCATATTTCTGAGTCAAGTAGTATTTTATAAGGCATGGGCATAGACAATCGGAAGGCCGAGAGGTTAATTTGTCAGCCTACCGCTCTAGGGCCTCTTCCCTGACCAATTACACGCTCCAATTGTGGAACCAATAATGGGCTGACTAAAAAGGATTTCGTATTGTCCACTGGGCAGAGAAAATTTTAAAAAAGTATAGACCTATTGTTTTTCTTTTGCATACTCCTAAAGATTCTTGGCAGGCCGCTGGGTACAATCTGGATGGAGTTTCAGCGATAGTTCAGTTTAACGAGTGTAATGTAATTTCGGCCTTAGGTGTTGCGTGTTTTCTTTACGTTATTAATACCTAAATAGGGGCCAGTTTCCCAAAGAAAGTTCTCCCGGGAGGCATCTTCCTTCGGCAGATCGCCCACGCGTTGCGTTGCCAAACAATCCAATCTATTAGATAGACCTAAAAAATGTTGAAGGTATAAATACAAAATTGAGTTGGATTAACCCAACTGTCGATTCCGTATTATTATTATACGGCCCGACTATTATATATTAAAGTATATGATATTAAGTTTAAAAATAGATTTTCATAAAGTAAAAATTCTTAACATATAAACCAAAATATGAAAAATACTTATGAATTACATTTAATAGTGCATTACGCGTACATAAGAAGCTTCTAATGCCTGAAAGTCCATTAAGCCAAGCATTAAATGCCATTAAATATATAAACATATCAATCATATCTTTGCACCGAAAGTTGTTTTTTTAACCTAATTAATTATTCAGTGAACAAATTACAATTTACTTTGATCAGATACTTAAAACGTTTTACTCATTAAGGACGTATATAAATTTTGTTTTAATGCTTATTGCTTAGGATATACATTAATATAGCGAAATGCATTAAATTAAATTGGTGGGATAAGGACAATTTTCCAGGAGGGTAACATAGAAAACTAGACCATGTTTAAAAGCTAGACACGTGAAGAAAATGCGGAAAATTCCATGCGGTTAGGCGCGATCCAACGTTTGATTTAACGTTTTCTTCACTTTTGGGCATATTTTACCACAGAAATTGTAAACATTAAAATGGAATATTACCTTTATGATGTACTGTATCCTTATCTTAAAGTTTTGAATATTTATGGAATATTCATAAATGCAAGAAATGATCGATTGTGGGTTAAAATTTTCATAATTCAAAATTACTTCTTGTTGGTATTACTGTTTCTGTTCCTCTTTCCCGAAGAATTATCAAATAATATATCAAACCTGAAATTTATTTCAAAATTCTGCAGCCTTCCGGAATTTTGGGAAAGGTTTGGAAAAAGTTTCCGATATAGCGCTAGCTTTTTTATTATTGTTTCATCGATATTTTCCTATTTATACAATAGAAATGCCACTTCTATTAAACTGGCTATTGTAAAAGTGAATAGGGAGGTAAAATGTACCACCAAAATATATCGTAGTTTGTTACGTTTCCAAAATTTTATTATTATATTATTTACATTCATCAACTTATTGGCTAACGTTTGCGTACCGACAATTTATATTTATGGTAGACATTATTTTGGATATAATCAATCAATATTTAAGGAATATTTCTGTACCTTTCACATTATTTCGAGTAGCTTTATTGTTACCAGCATCATCTGTTACGGTTTCGGGTTTATGTGGATTCTTACGTATTTAAATGTTCATCTGGTCGAAGTATTCATTGAGGATATCGATAGAAAATTGAGCGAGAATATTCAATTGAAGAGCCAGATAGTACTTTCTGAAATGTCATCAATTTTCCGTTTTACAAAAGTAATAGATCAACTTTTCCAAGATTTAATTACATTTTCTATAATTATATTCATACCAGTAACGGGGATATATTTTCTGTATGTTTTAGTTACTCATAAATTTACCTACGAATTATTTATTACTATTACTGTAACGTTCGTTATTGGATTTATTGTATTGATGTATTTTATGTTTATCACTACAATTCCTTCAAACGTAAGTTTCTTTTATTTTGACATAATTCTTGAAATTTATATTAAAATTCCCTACCGGGTTCGAGTCCCCTCTGAGCCAAACTATTCCACAATACTGTATTTAATATTAATTAATTTATAATTACAGGTATCCTTCGTATAACACGGTATATACGTTCCGAAAAAGTACCGTGTTATGCGAATTCATTCTATACGAAACTAATAGAAAACATTACGTTCAAGAAGTTAACAAAAGTATACTACAAGTCGACCCCCCTATAACACTGTTGATTTTTCTGTTTTATATGAATTCTATGTTGTACGAGTCACTTAGATTTGTAAAATTTAAGTGACTCGTACAACATGGAATTCATATAAAACGGAAAAATCAACAGTGTTATAGGGGGGTCGACTGTACCTTGTTCAACGCTTTCTGGAGAGATACTTTGCAATTTAAATGTAGACATATTTGCCATGATGAAATTCCAAGACACACTGAAGATATTTTCGGCCCACCAGTTACCAAGCGGTTTCGTTCCCCGAACACTGGGAATTCGGTCGTGGATTCGCGCCTGGCCACGTGAAGTTTTCCGGGTTTTCTCCACGTCTGTAACGCCTGAATAGGAGCCAGTTTCCCTTAAGATGACCTTCCGGAAGGCATTCCTTCTAGGCAAGTGTTGCGTTGCGGTAACTTAATAAACAAACAAACTGAAGACATTTTCTACTCAAAAAAAGTACCAAAGCTCATCATATGGTATCTTTGCTTCTGTAAGCAACGAAAAAGTATATGCATGTAAGCTTTTGTGTAATTATCTGTTGCAGACAAATTCTAAGTATAAACTGTTACATTTCATTGTTTCTATCTTGCCAGAATGAATACGATCGTAAATCTACCATTTCACAAGTCAACGTTATTGTACAGTCAATGAATAATGCAGCAGGCTCCAGTAGTGCGAGTGCAGTACCAGGGTAGTTAAGTGTATTCTACGGCATAGTGCACAAAGTACCGAAACACTGCTTTAGTTTGGGTTTAATGGGATACGTCAACGCAACCCTGGACGATCTGCCAACTGAAGGATGCCTCCAGAAATGACTTTTTATGGAAAACTGGTCCTAACAGGTGAAGAGAACCAGGAAAATTCTACTCGCTAGTCCGTTGGGAATTTTTATTACACCCGGCTAATGCCCGGTAATAAAACAGCCGGCCGAACTCACGATGAACATGGAAAAAAGATACTTAATGCCCACAAAAAGAGAGTCAAAAATGAAAAAGATCTTTCATAATAAATATAGAAGAGGATTTTTCATTTTTTACCGAACGTTAACATATTATTTATAAGAATTACCATGAAATTTGCTTACACTCATAAAACTTTTCTTGTTGAAGAAGAAGAAGTTCTTGCTCTTGTATCCGATATCACGCTTAATGACGTACAACAAAATCAACGACTAAAAAGTATTTTTGTAATTGTAATTTATATAATAGACTAATTAAATATATTGTAATTTAATTTAAAAATGATAAAAAAATAAATCTCTTACGCTGTAATTACTTTCGTTTCTGAAATAAAAGTCCATAATGCAAAAGGAAGCTTGCTCAATCTGCAAAATGACAGTTTTAATTGTTGTAGATGTGAAAAATTGAGAAAATTTTATATACTTACCAGAGAAGGAACTTTTGATAAGAATAACGCGTATGCTATAAACATTATTAAAAAGCTAATTATTACGCATAACAGTATAAATAATTCTGAAGAAAGAGCTATGGTATATGATACATATATTGCTGCAATACTTGCCAAAGGAATGGCAATTATAATAAAAAGTGTTTGAAGTTCGTCACAGAATTTGTTTATTATGTTAATAGAGTAACAAATACTTGACGTTTTCATGAGTACTGTTGCCATGTCTACATCAGATTTCTCATCTAATTGTTTTTTCAAATATAAAATAAATGACTTCGCGTGAACATTGCAGATGTAATTATTAAGCCAAAGAAGTCCAACTCCATAGCATATTATACAACAGATAATTAAACCTCCTATGACGTAGTGGACGTTACAGAAAAGTTCTTGTGGAAACGATGTATTATTTTGATGATAATTTCTGTGAGAAATATAAATAGCATTTATAATAAACATTATGCAAAAAGTAAGAAAGCTGAAGAACAAAACGATGAAATCTTGAACATATAGCACGTTAATTGATAGATTTACGCTGTGATCTAAATCTTTTTCAATAATACTGATGGCCTTTATCATATAAGAACTATTTCTGTTATAAAAATATACGTATATTATTGGAATGCAAATACAGAAACATACAATGTATCTTAAATCTCTTCCTACTATATTCCAGAACTCTGGTATCTTACAAAGTTGTAAAATGCCAGAGAGTTGTAAACTCTTCGGTAGTATTTCTTCCGGAAAAAATACTAAAATCATTATCATGAAAATGAAGTATAATTGAATGATTATTAAAGAAAACCAGAATTTGTTTCTCTTTTTACCAATATAAATTCCAAAAATCTGCACAAGATTTAAATAAGGAAGAACGGCTTCTGAAAGTAATACCATTCTGCACAAATAGTCAAGAGATTTCGGAGGAGAATGTATTGTGGCTTGTCTGATTTGCCGAATCAAATTACTATTTGCTATTCACCAAATGCAATGCCATGATTAATCCTTGAATTATGTAATAGCAATTATCATTTAGAGCCATCAAATTCATAGCCAACCTCATACAGAAATCTCTATGTATCAATCATCATTAATGACCTTCATCAGCCATGGATGTTTAATTATAAATGTGTGGTTTATAA